AGATAATGAGCTATTACATTTATTTATTAAAAAGACCATAAACTATTAAAATTGCAAAAATATGTGTGTCGTTAACTTTAGCAATGGAGTAGAATGTTCACCCAAAATTTGAATAAAATATGTGGTTAATTATTTGAAATAAAATTCACATAAAATTCAAACTATTATTCCATTGATATAAAATGTTGAAAACAAACTCTAATATTCGATTTTAGTCATGGAATGTAACTTTAAACCTTAAGCACGACAACTTAGTTTGGAGAAAAAAATAAAAATAATAATGTATGATAACCAGAAGTACACTTTAGTGAAATCACAGTAGTAATTGTAACTCCAAATATTAATTCTAAAATAACTTTGTAGCTACTTATATAATATGCATCATAATTATAATTTTTTAAAATAGTGCAATTTGGTTGAATTTTTTCATGATATTTTCCTCAAGGTGTTGCACACTTTTCCAGTTAAATGCAACATGTTTGACAGATTGATCCATAGGAAAAAAAAGTTATAATCATCTTCATTTTGGTTCCTATGGCATCTATTAAACTTGTTTTTGCAATTTTTGCCTCAATAGCAAGTGTACATAGCATGCCACAGGTTACACCTACAAAAAATTGAGAGATTTTGGACTGATCTAGTTAATGACATATAACTTAAGCTCATCTTCTGAAGTACAACACCTACTAAATAATGAAGAAATTAAAACAAACTTTAATAGATAGTGGAATCATTTTAAAAGCAATAAGCTTGTCATGTTCATTTAGTGATCTAAAGTAAAACAAAAGTAAAAATTATTAAGCAAACATTTAAACAAGCAAACTTACTTGGGAAATAAAAATTACTTGATCAATATTCTTAAAGGAGGTGTGAAACCTTGGAAAGAGATTTCACCCACCGAGAGATGAAGTAGCCTACTGAGACATTGGGTGAAGGTAATGTTTTCATTACTGTAGCTTTTTCATAGAAAGCATTATATATATTGGTATACAGAAAGCTCTACAATAGCTAAAATAGAACTGGTTAGGGTATATATGTATATTCCCTTGAGGACCACAAAGATGAACTAATTTGTGATGGTGGTGGTTGATTCTTGCTAATAACCTCCTACAAGCTGATGGTTTGAGGACTGTCAGCTCGGTACAAAATTCTTGAAATTTTCTCTTTGAAATTGATTTTGTAAGTATGTCGGCTTGTTGATTCTTGGTGTATATAAACTTTATTTGGATATTATTGGAGTTGATATGGTCATGGATAAAGTGATAATTGATCTCAATATATTTCGTTTATGCAAGAAAGATGGGATTGTTAGCTAGCAATATAGCTGAAATGTTGTCACAATAAAGTGAAGTTGTTTGCCGGAGATTAATTCCAAATTCCTGAAGAAGTCTGTGAAGCCATATAATGTTTGTGGTAAAAGTAGGTAGTGTCCGATATTCAGCTTCTGCTGAGGTCCTCGACATCGTGGATTGCTTCTTCACCATATGGGATATGAGTGGATCACTAAGAAAAGAGTGCACCCTCATTTTGGATTTGTGATTAATTTGGTCTCCAACCCTGTTGGCATCAGCATAGGAATGGAGATGGAGATTTTCGGGTTGAAGTACCATCTCATACTGGCAAGTTCCTTTTAAGTATCAAATAAGATGGGTTAAATATTTATAGTGAGTTGTTGTTTGAAAATGCATATGTTGGCAAGCAATGTCCGGTCGAGTAACTGTGAGGTATTGAAGACTGTCTGTCAACTAGCGATAAAGAGTGGGATTGTCAAAAAAGGTGCTCTAGAGTGAAGAGTCCGGTTGACGAGTTGGTATAAGGGTGCTTATAGGAGTGCACTCTTTCATTTCTCTGGGGTTAAGTAGTTGTAGAACGTACCATTATTGACTAAGGAAATAAGAGCTCACAAAATTTTGAAACTTGATACTCAGGAGTCATCAAATTGGACTCAGATGTTTCATTCTGAAACATCGTAGTCATGTCTTCTATAAACTTTGATAAAGCTTTGGGATGGTTGTTGGCAATTAGGATATCATCAACATAGATGAGCACAAATATGTGAGTTTCATTTTAATGATAGAGGAGTATGGATGGATCTACCTTCTGAATTGAAATCCATTTGTAAGTAAGAAATTGGAGAAAGTGATGAACCACCGACGTAGAGCTTTTTTGAGGTCATATAGTGATTTCTTGAGCAAGCATACATGATTGGGAAGTTACGAGTCTTGGAAACCAATTAATGTAAAATGTTTCATTTAGTGTACTATGGAGAAATGCATTTGATATGTTGAATAGATGAATGTTCCAGTTGTGATGAAGAGCCACATTGAGCAAGATGTGAATGGTAAGGAGTTTGGCTACTAGACTGAAAGTTTCTTGAACATTACAAAATTACAAATAAGTTGCTTAAAAATGCCATCAAAATTACAAATGTAATAAAAAACTAATGATCTTTTATAATAATAATAATAATAATAATAATAATAATAATAATAATAATAATAATAATAATAATAATAATAATAATAATAATAATAATAATAATAATAATAATAATAATAATAATAATAATAATAATAATAATAATAATAATAATAATAATAATAATAATAATAATAATAATAATATAAATATAAATATAAATATAAATATAAATTTAAATATTAAGTAGAATAATTAACAAGCTAAAACTTGATCATTCTAAGAGTAAGGGAAAATGTAGTTCGTCTTTGATTTCAAATGTCCGATTTATAAAATCTATTACAACATTGAACAAGTATAGCCACAAAATACCCTCAAACTTAGTTGCATGATATTAATTCAAGCAATGAAACATGAACCTTTAGTTTGTCGGCAAATGTGAAATATCATAAATTTTACAAAGCAATTAGATTCTTAAAAATGACAACTAACTGCTTGATCTATTTATGTGAATCCAATAAGGTATAACAAATTTATTGTTGCAATATGGTCTAATTAGTAACAAATAATAAACCCTCTACATGGAAGTGATTGAATAATATAGCTCCAACACTCAAACTATTAAACTGGTAATCCATGCATCTACCTCTAATCAACCAATAACATTTGTATCACTTGCAATTAATGAGAGCATCATTTTAAAATAAAACAGTATATCCATTTTTCTCTACATTTATTTTACTTTTACCATATAACAAATAGGTATATAAAAAAAAAACCCAATTTCAACTTGAAATATCCCAAGCTACGAAACAAACTCTTAGTACATAGAGAATTGCAACCTTCTTCCTTTTCTTGCATTAATCAAAATACTTCAACAACCTTTTCTTATTACTCACATTAGAAAGCAAAAAATAAAGCATTAAATAAAATATTCCAAAGGACCCAAACAAACCCTTATATCTTAACATAGAAAAGTACAATGTTTCTCACTTTTCCCCTTACTCACATTAATCAAAATGCTTCAACAAAAAAAAAGGAAACTACTAATTAAAATGAAATGCAAAATTATTAGGAGAGCATTTGTCATTTACTATGCAACATCTCTTCAATGAAATCAACAACATTCCCCCTTTTAAAAAAACCAACATTAAGTGCGTTATATATTACAACATTAGGAGCAACACAACACTCCATCTCTCAGAACAAAGAAATGATAGTATCAACATCGCATCATCTCTTTCTATAAGGTGCCAGAGTTCACTAATTAATGATGAATAACTGAATAAATAATCAAATTTGGTACATATGAGTGAATCAATGAATAGCAAGTGGCAACTATTAAATATGTATCTTGCTTAATGCTTTTATTATTCAACTACATTATGCCCAACACCTTTTGAGTTTAGGAAATGGCATTTTCTGCCATTAATTGAAGAAACTCACATGATTCATAAGTAAGCAAATCGCATGATTCACAACTAACTTCATATGATGACAAAAAAAATGAAAAACCTTAGCCCTTAAATAAAGAATCTGATGGGGAAAATTTTTTTTGAAAGCCCTCACATCGGCACGTTGGCTTCCTAGTATTTAGCGGACTAGTATTTTCATCATATTATGAAGAAATAAGAACGAAAAATGGCTGTAAGAAACAAAACACCTTGCTTTTGTTGGAAAAGTTGAAAGATTTAGGATCAATCAAGTAAAACACGAAGGTGGAAATCATGGAAGAAACATTAAGGCTAATGCAAGAAAAAATGAGTTTTCGAACGGAGATCAAGGGCACCTCAGGCTCATACTGAAAACATATCAACCTCATCTTGTTGATGCTTCATATTTCATCCTTGGGCCTCCCTCCTTGCATGAAAGTGAGAATCTGCTGGCACCCGACTACTAGCATTTCCTCGCTTCAAGCCTCCGACATCTTGAACAGGGAAATGTCAAAAGTAGAGACTCAGAGTTTGGGTGACTGTGAATAGAGATATAAGCTTAGAAAAAAATTAATAACAATAATATAATATAGAAGGATTTTGACTTTACGGATTATTCTAATTTCCAAAATAAAGCCCAAGCCATAACTCAATTATCAAAAAAGTTGTGATTTTAAAATCAAAAACCAAAATTGATTTTCCAAACCGATTCAAATTATCCAAATCAATCGGTTTGGTTCAGAATTTCCATTTTATCCAAATAATGCACACCCATAGAATAAATAAATAAAAAAATTATTAAATCTCAGTAATTTGTTAATAACAAAATTTAGGAAAAATATTAATTTTTTATTTGACTTATAAGGAACTTAATAAATTTTTTAATTTTTTATTAAAATTAAATGAAATTGATAATAAAAATAATAAACTATCTTTTTAACTAATAATTACAATAAGAAACAACTAATATAAAATCATACATTACAATACAATTTTACTCGGTCAAGCTCCTACAAAAAGGTAAAAAAAATGAGGAAAAAAAAAACGATTTTCCTGATTCGTACCGGATATCTGAGCCGCAGAACCATAAAATGTTTTCGGTTAAAGTGAACCGATCGAACTGGGTTGAAAAATCACCGCGGGCACCCTTTCACGGTGGTTGCTCTGAAGAAAAACGAACAAATAAATACAAAAAAAAAACCTCCTTCCTCCAATTTCGGTTTTTGTTTTTTCCCTTTTGATTTGTTCCCACTAACGTTTGCGCTGCAGCTTCGAGAGCGAGGGACTGAGGCTCGGATTTAGGATTTTCTTTTCCTTGCTTCAAATCTGGATCTGCTTGCCGGTGTTGATTGTACTGAATAAAGGGTGCAAGAGAAGGCAGATAGAGAGAACAAGGTTGCAGTTATATTTTCCTGGTAATATTGGTTTTTTCTACTTTTCTTTGGATAATACTGCTGCTTGTCTCATTTTGATTGAGAAATTTGGTTTTTGTTGTTTCTTCATGCTTGGATTTGCGCCTATTCCGGCGGCTTCTTATTTCAATTACCGGATCTAGATGCTCTTTTGTATAGGTCTGCTATCAGCTCCTTAGAAGGATTGATCTTACTTATTGTGATGTGATGTTTTGTGAACTAACAGCATTTATTTCTTGCAAGTTTTGAGTTTTTATGCTTTTGGATTGTCGTTTTGGGGCTTCTATCATGTTAAGCAACGATATCTACCCGGGTGAATTTAAATCTCTGCATTTTCTGCAGAATGTCTGTTTGGAAATTATCAGTGTTTTTGCTTAGTTGTGGTTTGGATATGCAGATGAGGGACATAGAGAAGATGGACCATGACCATCAACTTAATGGAGAGACACCTGATGAATCACCACTAGGCGTCAGGAAGATGCACACATTCGAACATATTGGGTCAATGGCTTCTGTTTCTCAGTCATATGGCTCTATGAGAACTCGGAGTAGACTTTTGATGAGCATTTATATTGTGCTATTTAAAGCAAAAATCAACTTGCTTCTTCCTTTTGGACCTCTGGCAATGATTCTCCATTATCTTACTCAAAAGCAGGTAAGATTATGATTAAATTTTCTTAATATCTTCTGATAACATGCTGAACAATTTAAGTGGCTTTACCCATTGGTAATATTAAATTCTTTTTGAGTTCTAATTTCCAATATTTGTTCCAATGTTCGTAATTTTTTTCTTGTAACTTTTATCTTTTGACTAAAGTGACACATTGCATTATGCATGAAGTTTGATATGAGTGTTAACGAGCCTATCCTTGTCAATAAAGATGCTTCATTTGTTAGAAGTTTGTCAGTATCTAGACCATTCTTGCAATTACTATTGGTGAGTATGGTTGGCTAGTTGGGGTTAGTGGGTTAGCTTTGTATTTATAAATATCTCTATTTATGGAGGTTGAGCAAATGAAACAAATTAGTTTTTCCTTTTTTTTTTATTGGTTATCTCTTCTCCCACATATTTCTCTAGTTATGAATAGCTCAAAATGTTCAGATTTGATCTAGGTAGTGCTGCTTTCATTAAAAAATCACCACCAACCTCAATCGATTCTTAGAATCAACTTCGATCGAGTACACCACCATCAATGCCCTCATATCTCTGCCTACATAAATACTGTCAAATTTGATTAGCCTCTGCTATTGTTCAACATCATCCAGAAATCAATAGAGATCGCATCGGATTCTTGAAACTCCTTCATACCTATTGATGTCACCTGCAATTTCCGACAACTACAATAATGGACTTAACCCTTGTTGTTCAATCTCAGGTAATGACATTCTCGACGGTTTTCCAAGATTCACCTTGCTTGACTAATTCCTCCATGTTATGACCACATCAAAACTCTCTACAGAGTTATGCATAATCTTAACATATAGCTCCAAGAATTGCCAATTTCATTTTGCACTCCAAATCTTATTCTTTCTTTCTTCCACAAGAACAGTGTATTTATCAATGATTCCATCTTTACTTTTGTTAAGAATGATATTCATCTGATTGGTGATTGTTGGGAAGGACTCAATGACTAGGATGATTGAATAACGCCTTTTTTTGTTACTTTTTAAGTTATTATCTTGTCATTGATGAATCTGAAAAAGAAACTGTTCAACCAAAAGCATTGATATCTTCCATATTTTAATCAATTGATTATTGTCATTTAGCTCTTGGTTCATACATGATGTAATACAAAAGGTCGTGTCAAAATAGGGGAAAAAACTTTTAGTTTTCATACCCCTCGAAGTAATGAAATAATTACTTTGAGATTGGATCCATTGTAGGGTAGCACTTTCATCCCTCATGTTGATATACTATTATTAGATGTTGTATTCGATCACAGGTGAGAAATTTTAAAACTCCTGTGTATGGTTCTAATTTTAACATAGACAACCTGATCAAAACCGGAAGAAGCCTGAGAAGAGTAGTGTGCTCAACACAGTTCCAACCAAAAAATGGTTCAAGTGTGATGGATGTGGACATATTGCCTCGAGCTGCCCAACAAGCAAAGTTATTTCATTCACTCACTAGGTGCAGTAGAGGGTAGGTGCAGTAGAGGAGATGAGCAAGGAGGCAACTGAAAAGTAGGGTGAGTATCAACTTTCAACGGATGAGGGTGAGATGCTTGTGGTTTAAGCAAGTATTTACGCAAAATTGATTCAATTGCTCTTATATCTAATAATTGGTTCCAAATTAAATGACTTAACTGGATTAGTGGGTCCTCCTCAAAACCAATTGTCTTTTATCTGATCTAGAAAAAAGCATCCGAACCATGTAAATCTGAGTTGGTTCTTAGATTTGTCTAGTCAAGTTTCAAACTGGCCAGAATTGTGTTACTAACCCATATACATTTTTTTTTAACATCTTATTGGAATAATTAGTTGCTTTTGAGACCAATAAACTAACAAATCATTCATGTGTCTGTGTATTGATTTTGCTTACAATATAACGGTTTGATTATCTGTATTTTCATATGTTTTTTGAATTAATTTAAAGTACATGTTTGCACGGTTACTTCTACATAATTGTTAGCATTCTTGAAAGCCAACAATTATGTCTGCATTGTTTAAGTTGAGACTTGAACTTGACATTTTTAACTTTGTGTTCCACTTCTAGGGATGGGTTTTCTTTTTTAGCCTTGTAGGCATAACACCCTTAGCCGAGCGTTTGGGTTATGCAACCGAGTAAGTATTACCTGGAATTATAATTGAGTTCTATCGACACTCCTTTATATTAGTTTATTGAGCTGATAGACATTTATTTATTTATTTTGAATGATTCAGACAGCTTGCATTCTACACTGGCCCCACAGGTAATTTCTATAATGTTTATTAGATTATTTAACATTGTATTGTATGCAGGTAAATCGATTTACTTCACCGAAATCGTTTTTCTGCCTGCAGTTGGAGGTCTCTTAAATGCTACTTTCGGGAATGCAACAGAAATGATCATATCAATATATGCTTTAAAAAATGGAATGATCCGTGTCGTTCAGCAATCTTTACTTGGATCTATTTTGTCTAATATGCTCTTAGTTCTTGGATGTGCTTTCTTTTGTGGCGGGATTGTGTATTCAAAGAAAGATCAAATATTCAACAAGGCATGTGCAACAATGCATTTATGTGTGTCTAACTATATATATATGAACATATTG